ACAGTTACAAGTCTAATAACCTTCTACAGGGGCAATTTGAGTGTGTCGAAACCTTTTTAACATTGCGTAACCGATAGCAACTTAAGGCGACTGTAGGCGACTTAGGGCGACTTAAGGCGACTTAAGGCGACTTAAGGCGACTTTAGGCGACTTATGGTCCCAGAGTAGGCCTAAAATGACTGCTCTGTACAAGTACGTGTATATGATTTACGTGATAATAGTAGAGTGTAATAACTGACACTCGTTTGGGTAAAGAAGGTGAGTGCCTGCGAAAGCGAATACTTCTCCCGTGCAATCCACCCTGAACACGAGCCGAGCCTGGATAAGTTAATGGCTTGCGTGAGCAAAACAAATCTTGTATCGCCGAAGAAATTTTCTCGTGAAGATCTAAGTGAAATAACAAAGAGTACTCAGTTCTCGAGGGCAGTGCAGGAAGAAAGATAGTATGTAACAAAAAACGAGGCAAAGCAAATACTTCAAAGCCTGGAAATGCGTATTCTGCGCAGAGCTGCTTGGCAGCACCGACATCAGTCCGTCTGAAGACCACCTGGATGCATGTTTCGGTCAAGACACTGGCAGCCAATTCAGAATGTTGTAATGTGCCGTGGTGACCAGTGAATGTTCCTCGTAAACATATGATACCAAGTGCAGAATGATAGACTACTGATCATCACCTTGTTCGCTGCAAACTTAGCTTACATTCAGTAAACTCAAGCCAAGGAATAATGGCTCCCCAAAATGACTTGGCTGGTTTCCCAAGACAACCTGCGGTCAAAACTTGAGAGAAACGGCTGCTTTGGAGACTTGCCCCCAGGAGACACGTGGGACTGTATCAAAAGTGCCAGTTTTCTGAAGAAGTAGTCGGATTTTCCACTAGGAAGAACAAGGATAGGTTTGAAGAGAACGACCGTGAAATCCAGAAACAGCTAGCAAAGAAAATATCTACAAACTATACTCACTTGGTCCAACCATTTAAGAAATAAGCCTTCCGCGAGGCTTGGAGCATTATACAACGAAAGCTGCGTATAATCCAGGACGTGTGGACCAGTCACGCTTGGGGACTACTATGGGTTATATGATAGTTATTAATTTTCTCCCTTGTATGCATCGTTTTTTATATATACATTAATTAATTTTGGGTTTTTAACATAATTTGTATTGATCACCGAAAAGCACTCAGGGGAGCGTTCAATAAAGTCTCATCTCTCATCTTATCTCATCTCATCTCTTATCTCATCTCTATGAAGCCTATTACCGCAGGTGGACCCGCTACAGACGAGATATGAGAAGAAGCTCTCACTGATAAGAAATCTATTTTTAGCCGCTGTTCTGCGCACTTCCACAGCCTCTTCGGCACCAACTAAACGCGCTGTTCGTGACCCTGCAAGTTTCACATTGCACAACGGCCAGTGAAAACTGAACTTGATGAGACTATAGATCTGCAAGATAGAACAGCTGAAGAGCGGAGAGGTCTAGAAAAATAGAAATTCAGCTCTCCATACCAATCTCTACGCGAAGTTCTCGCCAGTTGTCGGGGGAAGGTTACACGACCGTTGTGGTGAAGCTACCATTACCCTGTACAAGAACAAAGGAGAAAATGGAGCTCGTTATCGCAGCTAAATTTATTTAAGAATGTTGTTGAACAACCTTGTATCATTCACCTATCTGGGTTGCACATTCTCTTCATATTCTAAGAAGTGGACAATAGACTGGCCAATGTAAACGCCGCCCTTGAAGAGTGCACACGAGTCTGGAACAACAGCAATCTGAAAAAAAAAAGACACCTAGATCAGTATATTATTATTATATGCAGATCTGAAAAGGTGATTACTCTCTTTTACGATGCCATTCCTGGTGCACATATGAACACCATCTTACTCGAACGCCTTTATCAGCGCTGCCTCCACCGTATTCTCAATACTCATTGCAGTGACTTCTTTAAGAACCTGGAAGTCTTCCAAAAGGCGGAGATCACAATTGAGACCAGCCGCTTAAGGATGGAATACAACCGCCTACTAAAGATTTTGCTATACGATGAGCTTTCCGTTGGTCATCGTGACAGAAGAGCGTCTCTGCGAGGCACTCTTGCAACATAAACCATGGCAGGGGTCTACGTTGGCTGCTAAAAGAGATACCTGGCGAAACACAGGCCAGCGGGTAATATCATCCTTCGAAAGTTCCAGACGGGTCACCATGGATGGGAAAAGAAGAAGGAGAAAAAAGGGAAAAGACCTCATCAACCCAAACCTTCCTCTACAGCCGCCGGGGCAGGGAATGCCTGTCCTACGAGGAGCTTGCCTGAAGTGGATGTGGATTGCGCCCATCACAAATTTTCTTTTGCGATGACAAGCCGACAGAAATATTAGGTTTGGTGTGACGTATTAAATTATGATAGCTGTCAGTTAAGCTTGATGACCAATGTATTAGAGCCGTTGGGTTTGTTTTGAGAAGGTAAATGGTAACTTGCCTGGTAGCCATAATGACGACTGTATATATACAAACACAAGACTAAATTAATATTATTTTTCCACGATGAAAGTGGTTTCTATGACATGCTTTGTTTTCTGGCCTTAACGTTTTTTAGTTTGTTCTTTCCTGTCTTTAGATAAGCCTGACGATGTTCATTTAACGACAAATACAACAAACAAAGTTTGTGCAGGAATCATTATAAACTTCACATGCAGCGCTGAAGCTAACCTAGCAGTCCACACTTATTTGCTATATGAAAATGATACTGTGATTTACAATATGGGATTGGGAACAGTGATAAAGACAATGGAAAATACTGGCCAGTTTGTATTCAGATGTGAGGCCAATAATTCTGTCCAAGATGGTGGAAGAAGCAGTGACACCATCTTGAATGTTCTTGGTGAGCTCGCATAACTAATTTAGATGGAAATTTTGTCAAGAATATGTTAAGTATCAGTGCCACTAAAGTTCTACATTGTAGACTATTCAAGCTACGAGAGCTCTATTTTGACTAACCAGAGTGCTAATCAGTGTGCTACTTAGGTTAGCGGGAGTTATATTCAGGCAAACGGACCACTATTAAGAGTCTGTGTAATTGGAGTGTTATTTAGGCTCGCCAAAAAATGCTTTCCTTACGTAAATTCCCTTTGCGTCTTCACCCATAACGTCATTTATCATTTTACTAAAACCATCAGAAGAACCAGCTGATAGCTCAACTCTGGTTTTGGGGACGTGAAATGAATAGGACGTTGTTTTTATTTATCATGACAGGATATTTCTCTCTCGCTCCCCTCCGAATAATGTCAGGATACCTATTACATGTATAACCCTAGTGGTGCTGTAAGAGCGCTCTATCGAGGTAAAGCTAATTGCCCAATAACACAACCTAAATAATCTGATCAGGCCAAATCCGTCTTGATCATTTCCAGACTTTGAAAGATATTTTATAGTAATTGATCTCTGTTCACGAGGCATAGTCGAGTTTTATTGATTTTCCATCACGGAAAGCAAGGGCAAGCAGTCTAGTTTTGTTTTCTACTAGACATTTGTTGTCCCATCACAGGTTGCAATGTATCTGCGTAGTCGCTGAACAGACATCCGTAGGTTTCTAACAAATACCTCTCCATGCTGCAATGGCCTAATGGTCTGAGCATTGACCTTGAGATCTGAAGGTCGAGAGTGTGAGCTTCGCTATATCCTTGTGTTTTGATCTCCAGTTGAAGAAGAAACTCACAAAGTAGCAGCTTTGCTCCAAAATCAGGCTAGCACTAAGTGTGTACGTTGTAATTTGGGACCATTTCCCCCTTTAATTTCCTTGTATGACTTTTAGGTAACGTGGCATGTTACATGAATTCATTTTTACAGCTCCTCCAGCTACTGTAAAACAGGCAGAAAATAAAATCGCCGTGGAAGGGACCGATGTTGAAGTCTACTGTAATGTAACCGGCATTCCTGATCCAACCGTTATCTGGAGGAACGTCAAAACCTGTGAAATTATTGAGGGAAATCTGTTGAACATCACCAACATAACTAGGGCTCAAACTGGAGAATACAAGTGCACTGCAAGCAACACTTGTGGAGTGGACTCTACAATGGTCAACATTAATGTGCATTGTAAGAGAAAAACTATTACATTGTTTTTGTTTTTGTCAGTATAGGTGTGATCTCATGGTCCTACTACTATTAAACGTAAGTTTACATAGAAATGTTTCGAAAGCAATTTACAAGTGAAAGTGAAAAGGTTTATCAGTTCAAAGCCATTGCTACCTGCTATTGAAGTATTAAGAAGGTAGGAGTGTTCTTTTCTGACATACTCACTGCACAACTAACTGGTGTTTACATCCAGAAAAAGAAACGTTTCTACCAGCCTGTTATTAAGGGATATAGCATAATGTTCCAAGTACAACTCCGTAATCCGGGATGTCAAGAGCCGCCCTTGAATGAAGTTTTTCAATCTTTCGGTGATTATCATTATGTTGACCACTAATCTGATATAACAAATACCTTATTATACCTGTACTAATGAAATGGTCTTCAGAACGAATAGGCAATATTCGTATTCTCGGTATTGGATTGAAACTAGCTTGCCATGAAGGCTAATGCGGGAGAACGTCATTAAAAAAGACTGAGGTCATAAGAATTTTGAAAAGACTCCACGTATAATCCTCAGTTACAAGCTAGTTCCCGTCCGCTACCAAGAATACGAATATTGTCTACTGATTCCCGTTTAAATTTGGTCAGCTTTGGAGAAC